AATCTATCATCTTGTGATTATCCTTATCACAACCAAAGCATCCACTAGTACCGGATAGGCACTTTCCAAATTGATTTTTCCCATAAGTAGCACATGTAGGCTTAACCACTTGGGAACCACCACCCATTTCATACTTAGCCTTATGAGCACTATAACCATCTTGAATTGGAGCCATCTTCTTAAATTGGGTTGAACTTGCTCATGGGTCTTCCCCTCTTCGCATTTTTACTTGTCCTCCCTAGTTTAGACTCTTCAATGGATTGATCATAAACCGTAAACCTAGATAGAGTCATTCACCATGGAGCATAGCTTTACGACACTCTTCGTTTAAAATATCCAAAACACTAGTCAAGAAGCTGCTCATCTCATCCCTAGGGTCAGAGACCAAGGAGGAGAATTGTAACAAACCTGAAAATGGATATGCTAAGTAATGCTTAATATGTCAAGAATGCCTACGATTAAACCGGGTGATGCGCATAGAACCATACCTTTGAACCCCTGCAACAACCAATCCAACCAACTTGGTGAGTTATTTGATCTAGGAAAAGTTGGGTCCAACCATGTAGGATTCCCAAATATGGAGATCTACCCGGTTAAGTCTTAGCCGGAGGTTATTTTAAGTTTGGAGGGTCTAGGGGTAAAATGTTCTTTTTTAAGGCTAAGGGTAGCATCGTAATTACCCTTAATATTTAATTAATTATTTAATGAATATGGTGGAGGGGCAATTTGGTTAGAAAGGTCTGAAATTGGCCTTTGAGCGAAATCTTGCTGCACCCGGTTAGAACCAAGGTGGGAGCACAGATTTAATTTGATTATTTAATTTAGTGAATTAATTTAATTAATAAATATTTAAATTCTGATTTAAGAAAAAGGAAAATCATATTTTAATTATTAATTATTATTTATTAACTATTATTTAATCTAGTTTGACTAAGTCTTGCCTAAAAGTCCTAGTTCTAAGGAAACACTACCACACATCTCTCTCTTTCACATTTATCTCCCTCTGTTCAAACACTCTCTCACGATTTCACTCTCTTTATGGTTACAAACAGTAAACAAAACAAAAACCAAATGTTCTTCACACTTGAAGAACTTAAAAAAAAAATCGACAAGATAATTTGAAAATGTAAAGCCAAGAGGTAATTTCTCGTCGGGGAAGGTGGGATGTTGATTTATTGGTGGATTTGGCAGCACTTTGAAGGTGTTGGAAGCTAAAACAAGGTATGGATTTCTTCCTCTTTGTCCTTTTGCTAACAGACCCTCAAGTTTCAGATGAATCTACTCTGAAAACTAGGGTTGTTCCCTATTACATGTTCCCTATCACTAGCTCCGAATGATCTTAGGTTGGTATGTCTGCTGGTATATTAGGCATGTAATGTGATGTTTGTGATGAATATGTTCATGAAACTTTGTTCGAAATTGTATGACTGATAATTTATGTCTTCCAAAATTTTGTGTGTGCATTGTGTAAGCCGTGACATATACTTTCAATTTGAAGTTCAAAAATGACATGTTTAATGGTTGTATTTAACGTGCAAAATCTTGTATAAATCGTGATGTTCATATGAGGTATAATGTAGCTTATTTGAGTGGAAAACTCTTAGCTAAATGTAACTATGAAAATACACCTAAAAAACGTACTAAATGATTCACGAAATGCCCTAAGAACTAACGTATAATTGTTGATAAAAATGAGCTGAAAAACCTGACCCAAATTCTAGCACCTTGTTGGTTGGTTTCGGTTAAGAAAAGTTATACAATATGCATTGTAAAATGAATGTAAAATAACTGAGGTTACTACGGATTTAACCAGAAACCTCACCATGTTAAAATCACTAAAAAAATCTAAGTAAGAAAATGGGGTTAAGGGGAATCGAAATTGGGTGCCTTAGCCGATTCTCATACTTGAACATAAAAAAATAAATAAGTGAGAGGAGTGGGATTCAAACCCACCACCTCTCTGTCAAACATGAGAATAAGGAAAAAATTAAAAATAAATTTAAAAAAAGGATTGGAGGAGTGGGATTGATCCCACGACCTCTCGGTCCATGATGAGACAAGGAGAAAATAATAAAAATTATGAGATGAGAGGAGTGGGATTCGAACCCACATCCTCTCGGCCAACACAAAAGGAGTTAAGGAAAAAGAAAAATAAATAAATGTGCTTGTGGGGTTTCGATCTCGGGTCCCCTAATGCCTAAAAAGGAAGTGAGGGAAAGAAATAATAAAAAGGAAAAACAATGTTGGTGAGGGATTCCAAATTGGGTCCCCAAGCCGAGGGTTAAGATTACAAAAAAGGGAAAATAAATAAAAACGTAAGTGTTATCCAAGGGATTCTAAATCGGGTTCCCTTGCAAAATTCCGTATTGACACATGTCATACGTAAATAAATGTTCAAAAGAATGCTGCCTATATAGATCAAAATTGAGATCTTGGCATACATACAAGATGCATAAGTCATGTTACATAATTATAGGAAGATATGAATCACTTAAACGAACTACGAATGAAGCCTCATAGAATGTATGTATAGACTCATAAGTCTAGCATATGTTAATAGTAAGCGAACCAATATGTATGTGATAAAATGATGTAACCCTAAAAGGGTTAAGTGAGAGTGTGAAACACACTAGAGGGCCAAGTGCATTGACATATGATGAAATGAACATTCACGTAAAAGGGGTGAGTAATTATTAAGGGCAAATGTGCTAAAACTAATGAATGTGGTGACAACATGATAAGAGGCCAATGTGAAAGATGAGAGCAATCTCAAATGAGCCTTAGTAAATGTTACCAAAACGTTCTCACCTATGAGAGTGTAAAGTTAATGAAGAGACTAGTCTCTATGAACACTCTAATAAATGTATTGAAGTTAATGCATACTTAATCCAAATGATGAGATGAGAAATCATCTAATTATCTATGATGTCCTCATGCTAGAAGCTAGCTTCCATGATGTATGAGTTGAATTAATTGAACTTTATACTGAGCACCGATAGGCTAGCTATGAGTGGTGATGCCTTCCTTCGAGAATGGCGGAGGTTCACGTAAATATCATGAGATGAGACTTTCTGTCATGACGATTATGGGTTTTCTCATATCTCCTATCTTTGAACCTATACTACTAATATAGGGATCTAGCAGGGTTCGATTCCCTATATACGCTAGCATGTTTGGGTCACTTTGTTCGGTGATTCCACCTCTTTTTAGAGTGGGGCAGACACTGGATTTCATGATGCTCACATGATGTACGTTGGTTAAGATTAAAGTTACCAAAGAAAGAATGAGGCCAGCCTCAACAAATGCACATAATGAAATGAACGATACCAATCAAGAGGTGAGCTAGACTTAAGTAACGACACTAGGTTAATCTTGGTCATTACAAAGCTAACCCAATGAGAGTCTTAAACTACATCCTAGGTATGACTGGTGGTTGCACTAGTATATAAAAGAATGGAAAATGAAGTACGTATCAATGAATGAAGCAGAATATGTGTTTGCTAAAAAAGGCTCCCTAGTTGAGGTCCCATGTGTTGAGCCCTTATTTTGGGAAGTCCTAATGTCAAATCCATTATTCCAAGGTATTATGGCATAAAAAAGAATGATATAAACTATGTGATATGATATGTGCAATATTTTATGTGTTGTTTGCAAAATGATAGGTATGATAATGCATGTTACTCACATGACATGACTTTCCTAATCCGATTTTGCAAGTCCACTGACTTGACTTTCCATAATTCATATCGATAGGAGAGAGCTATTTGTACTCATGCATGTCCTTGGTGTGTGCTTCATATACCCACACTTAGTACAAGTGTGTACTAATCCCTTACAACTCTATACTTTTAGGTGTATGCACATGTGGATGCTAAAGCTTATGATACGACGCTGTAGCTATCTAGACGTGGAGCATTCATCCGGACTTGGTAGGCTCTCATGCTTTTGAGGATGTCTGAATTTATAATCTATCTTAGATGTAGGTTTTAGCTAGCGGAGTATGTTCCACTAGCGTTTCTTTCCAATATTATTTCAGACATTATATTGGTGCCGTTTTGGCAAGTTTACGTTTAATGTAGTATTGAACTATTTATTTCATTTGATGATCTTAATATTAGATGGTTGATGGTGAACTACTATTATGTTAAGTATAATATGTTTCATATGAAATAAGTAAACAAAAATTTCAAATTTTTTGCTAAAATTAACCTAGATGAAGTAACGATGACGTAAGTAGGCTTGTCTGCGACCTTTGAGAGGTCAACGACGCTGGTCTCGTCTGGGGTCTAGACTCCGGTCGTGAAAAAGTTGGTATCATAGAACTAGGTTAAATTCTAAGGATAATAAGTTCATATCAACCACATCAAGTAGTTTCTAAGTCACGGTAGTGAAGTGTACCACTATCTTCAATTAGCGACTCCATGATGCGTAGGAAAATTTCCATTCTTTTGATCTTATTGTGCTTTCTCTAATGTCTACTTCCTTGGAGTTATGAGCGCATTTAACATCAATTCTATTTTTTATGAAAATGAACAAGGAGGAACACTGGTCAAGGGAGAGGAGGAGCAGCTGCTGAGGGTAACCAAGTTCCACCCAAGGCTCCAACTGAAGGAGTGGACAAGCTAGTTAACCTAGCAGTGTTGACTGATGTGGAGGTGCGGACCGCTCTGACTCAGATGACTCAAGCCATCACTATGCAACCAGGCTATGATGGCCCAGGAAAACAGACAAGATGTTCAGCGGCAGAACCCACCCGTACGCAACATGGCTGACAGACTACGGATTTTACGAGGATGAATCCTCCGATTTTCAAAGGGTCCAAGACTTCAGAGGATCCCCCAGAGTTTATGGATGAGGTACATAAGATCTTGGTGGCCATAGAGGCCAGAGATACTGCAAAGACTGAGCTGGCTTCCTATTAACTCAAGGATGTTGCACAGTCTTGGTGCAAGATGTGGTAGGATAGCTAAGCTTTGGGCGGAGTTTCGGTCACGTGAAAGATGTTTAAGACAACCTTCCTGGAGAGATTCTTCCCCAGGGAGATAAGGGAGGCCGAGGTTGAGGAGTTTATCAACCTTAAACAGGTATTTTTAATAGTCAGTGAGTATTCCCTGAAGTTTGTGAAATTATCTAGGTATGCCACTTCCCTTGTATGTAACAACAGGAATGTGATGAGTAGGTTTCTCACAGGAATCACAGGAGATCTGGAGGAGGAGTGTCGGGCTGCGATGTTCCATCATAACATGGATCTCTCCCGGTTGGTGGTGCATGTCCAACAAGTAGAGGATAGCCGGAAGAAGATGGGCGTCCGTGAGCAGCCTAGATTCAAAAAGGGGCATCACAGTTTGGGGAACTCTAACTTCCAGAGGAGTGCAATACCTAGAGGAGGCAGAACCGAGCCCAAGAAGGGAAATGGAGGTGATGTGCAACGTCCAAGAAAGGACTGTGCCAAGTGTGGCTGTGCTCATAGTGGAGAGTGCAGGCAGGTCACTAATGCCTGCTTTGGTTTCGGAAGGAACGGGCACATGGTCAAGGAATGCCGACAGAATAGGGGTCAGGCTGGAGGTAATGCTCAGAATAGGCCTAATCCACAAGGTGCAGCAGCAACCGATCCTCTTAAGAGTAACAGGTTCTATGCCCTGAAGGGCAGGGAGGAGCAGGAGAAGTCTGGTGATGTGGTCACATGTATGCTGCAAGTATTCTCAACTTCTCCTTATGCCTTATTTGATCCTGGGTCAATGCTTTCCTTTGTAACTCGTTTACTTGCTCTCAGTTTTGAGATATTGCCTGAATTTTTGCATGATCCTATAGTGGTTAGTACAACTTTAGGAGATAATGTAAGAACTGATAGAGTATACAAGGATTGCCCAATAGTTGTTTGTGGTAAGACTATGTGAGTAGAATTGGTTGAGTTACCAATGAACGATTTTGATTTTATTCTTAGCATGGACTTGCTTCAAAATTGTTATTCTTGTATGGATTGCCATAGTAGGGTTGAGATATTTCTTTTCCCTAATGAAGTAGAGCTGGTTTGGGAGGGGTACAATTCGAGTCGTCCTAATGCCTTGATTTCGCACCCTAAGGCCAATAAAATGATGTCCAAGGGATTATTGTGTCATCTTGTGAGTGTTAATGATTTAGATCATGACATTCATTCCATAGACTCAATTCCTATAGTGAATGAGTTCCCAGATATGTTTCCTGTTGATTTGCCTTGAGTTACTGCTCCTCGAGAGATTGACTCTGGTATCGACTTAGAACCCGATACTAAAAAAATTTCAATTTCTCCTTACATAATGGCTTAATCTAAACTCAAAGAGTTGAAGCTGCAATTAAAAGATTTTACTGATAAGGGTTTCATTCAACCGAGCATATCCCCTTGGGGCGCTCCAGTGTTGTTTGTGAAAAAGAAAGATGGATTCCTTAGAATGTGTATCATTATCGGAGCTCAACAAAGTCACTATCAAGAATAAGCATCCACTTCCCAGAATAGATGACTTGTTCGACCAACTCCAAGAGTCTAGTTTCTTCTCAAAGATTGATCTTCGTTCAGGGTACCACCAGCTTAGTGTTAGAGATGAAAATATTCCAAATACAGTCGTTCGTACCCGTTATGGTCATTAAGAGTTTCTGGTTATGTCATTTTGTTTCACTAATGCACCTACTGTATTTATGGATCTCAGGAACAGAGTCTTCCGTGAATTCCTTGACTTTTTTGTCATAATATTCATTGATGACATTCTTATTTACTCTAAGACCAAGGATGAGCATGAACAACATTTGATACTAAACTTGCAGGTACTTAGACAACATTAGTTGTACGCCAAATTCAGAAAGTGTGAATTCTGTCTTAGATCAGTGACCTTCCTGGGTCATGTTTTGTCCAAAGGTGTGGAGGTACACCACAGGAAGACTGAGTCTATTAAGCACTGGCCAAAACCTCTTACTCCCGTAGATATCCGTAGCTTCTTGGGATTGGCTGGTTATTATCACAAGTTTGTGGAGGGTTTTTATTCCATTGCTACCCCACTCACAACTTTGACGAAGAAAAAATTCAAGTTTGAATGGGCGGAGACTTGCGAGAAGAGTTTCCTAGATCTCAAGGACAAACTCACTTCAGCCCCGGTGCTTACATTGCCTAAGTGTGGTGAGAATTAAACTGTTTATTATGATGCATCTAGGGTTGGTTTGGGTTGTGTTCTTATGCAGTGTTGTAAGGTGATAACTTATGCGTCCATAATGCTCAAGGTTCATGAAAAGAATTATCCTACTCATTACCTGGAGTTGGAAGCTGTGGTGTTTGCACTGAAATTTTGGAGGCACTACTTGTATGGAGTGCATGTGGATGTGTTAACATACCAGCTCCAGTACGTGTTCAGACAAATGGAGTTAAATCTACGTTAGTGGAGGTGGTTGGATCTGTTGATGGACTATGACAAGAATGTCCACTACCATCAAGGTAAGGCTAATGTTGTAGCTGATGCTTTGAGAAGGATGAGCATGGGAAGTACAATCCACGTTGAGGATGAGAAGAAGGAGTTAGTGAAAGATATACACAGACTGGACAGACTGGGTGTGCGGTTAGTTTACTTTACTAGTGGGGGTGTTTCAGTTCATCCTAGTTCTGAATCATCCTTATTAGTTGAAGTCAAGAAGGTTCATCATCTTGATCCTGTGTTGATGGAGCTGAAGGACTCAGTGTTCGTTAAGATGAATGAGTCTTTTTCTTTGGGAGGTGAAAACATAATTAGGTACCAGGATAGGCTGTATATACCAGATGTGGATGATTTGCGGACCAAGATTGTTGGAGAGGCCCATGGTTCCAGATATTCCATACATCCAGGTTCCACCAAGATGTATCATGATCTTAGACAGATCTATTGGTGGGATGGAATGAAGAAGGACATTGCTGAATAAGTGGCCAAGTATGCTAATTGTCAGCAGGTAAAGGCAGAACATCTTAAGCCTGGTGGTATTACTAAGGTTATCAAGGTTTCGACGTGGAAATGAGAGGCCATCAATATGGACTTCGCGGTTGGTCTTCCGAAGAGTAGGAGATGATATGACTCTATATGGGTTATTGTGGATAGGATGACTAAGTCTGCCCACTTTATCCCTGTGAAGTGTACTTACAGAGCTGAGGATTATGCGAGACTCTACATTGATGAGATTGTGAGATGACATGATATTCCTTTGTCTATCATTTAGAGAAGCTTAGTTCACTTCACATTTATGGAGATCTTTCCAGAAGAGCTTACGTGCGCATGTCAAGGTTAGTACTGCCTTTCATCCTCAGACCGATGGGCAGGAAGAGCACACCATTCAGACATTAGAGGACATGTCGAAAGCGTGTGTGATTGACTTCATAGGTAGTTGGGACGACCATCTACCTTTGACAGAGTTCTCATATAATAAAAGCTATCATTCCAGCGTTTGAATGGCTTAGTTTGAGGCACTATTTGGTATGAGGTGTTGGTCTCCATTAGGGTTGTTCGAGGTTGGAGAGTCATACATTTTGGGTCCAAATTTCATTCATGAGGACTTAAAGAAGGTCAGGGTGATTAGGGACAGGTTGGCTACTACTTACAGTCGGCAGAAGTCTTATGCAAACAATAAAAAACGGCCCTTAGAGTTTGATGTTGGTGACCAGGTCTATTTGAAGATATCACCTATGAAGGGGGAAATGAGGTTTGGCAAGAAGGGGAAGTTGAGTCCGAGGTATGTTGGGCCATATGAGATCCTACAACGTGTGGGTGGGGTGGCCTATGAATTGTCATTGCCTGCAGAACTAGCTTTTGTTCATCCAGTCTTTCATGTCTCTATGTTAAAGAAGTGCCTAGGTGATCTAGCATCGCTTCTACCAGTTCAAGGTTTGGGGGTTGATGAAGACTTGTCCTATGAGGAAGTACCTGTTGAGATTATAGATAGACAAATCAAGCGGATGAGGAACAAAGAGAGTGTCACAGTGAAGGTATTGTGGAGGAATCATCTTGTTGAGGGTGCTACATGGGAGGCCGAGTCCAATATGATATCCCGCTACCATTATATTTTCAGCTCTTGAAGTTATACTTCCTACTGTTAAGTCTAAGTTTCCTTATCTCCTCTGTTCTTTGTTGTTGTTGCTTGATTCTATATAATACCTATGTTATGATATGACTGGCGTTGTGCTAGATAATAAGAAGTATCATTCGGGGACGAATGTTCCTAAGGGGGGGGAAGATAATGTAACAACCCTAAAAAATGGCTATGCTAAGTAATGCTTAATGTGTCTAGAATGCCTACTATTACATCGGGTTCACATGGATTGAAGCGCGTAGAACCAGACCTTTGAATCCTTGCAACAACCAATCCAACCAACTTGGTGAGTTAGTTGATCTAGTAAAAGTTGGGTCCCGCCATGTAGGGCACCCGAATATGAAGATCTACTCGGTTAAGTCTTAACCGGACATTAAAAGGGGTAATCTTAGGTTTGGAGGGTATAGGGGTAAATGGTCTTTTCCAGGCTAAGGGTAGCATCACAATTACCCTAAATATTTAATTAATTATTTAATTAATATGGTGGAGGGGCAATTTGGGTAGAATAGGCCAAAATTGGCCTTAGAGTGAAATCTTGCTCCACCTGGGTTCGAACCTAGGTGGGAGCAATGATTTAATTCGATTATTTAATTTGGTGAATTAAATTAATTAATTAATATTTGAATTCTGATTTAAAAAAAGGAAAAACAGATTTTTATTACTAATTATTATTTATTAACTATTATTTAATCTAATTTGACTAAATCTTGCCTAAAATTCCTAATTCTAAGGAAACACTACCTCACATCTCTCTCTTTCACGTTTATCTCCCTCTCCTCACACACTCTCTCACAATTTCACTCTCTTTATGGTTACAAAACAGAAAACAAAACAAAAACTAAATTTTCTTCACACTTGAAGAACTTAAAAAAAAAACAATCGACAAGATATTTTGAAAATGTAAAGCCAAAAGGTAATTTCTCATCGGGGAAGGTGGGATGTTGGTATATTGTTGGATTTGGCAGCACTTTGAAGGTGCTTAAAGATAAAACCAGGTATGGGTTTCTTCCTCTTGGTCCTTTTCCCAAGAGACCCTTATGTCTCAGATGAATCTACTCCGAAAACTAGGGTTGTTCCCCATTACATGATCCGTGTCACTAGCTCCCAAAGTTCTTAGGTTGGTATGTCTGCTGGTATATTAGGCGTGTAATGTGATGTTTGTGATGAATATGTTCACCAAACTTTCTTTAATTGTATGACTAATAATTTATGTCTTCCAACATTTTGTGAAAAATTATATGTGTGCAATGTGCAAGCCGTGACATATACTTTCGGTTTGAAGTTCAATATGACATGTTTTATGGTTGTATTTAACGTGCACAATCTTGTATAAATCATGATGTTCATATGAGGTATAAAGTGGCTGATTTGAGTGGAAAACTCTTAGCTAAATGTAACTATGAAACTACACCTAGAAAAACATACTAAAAGATTCACGAAATGACCTAAGAACTAAAGTATAATTGTTGATAAAAATGAGCTGAAAAACGTGACCCAATTTCCAGCACCTTGTTGGTTGGTTTCGGCCAAGCAAAGTTGTACAATATGCAATGTAAAATGAATGTAAAATAAGTGAGGTCACTAGGTATTGAACCCTAGACTTCACCATTTTAAAATCACTTACAAAATGTAAGTAAGGATATGGGGTTAAGGGGAATCAATATTGGGTGCCTTAGCCGATTCTCATACTTGAAAATTAAAAAAAAAAGTTAGAGCAGTGGGATTCGACTCCACAACCTCTTGGTCAAACATGAGAATAAGGATAAAGTTAAAAATAAATAAATAAATAAAAGGATGGGAGGAGTGGGATTTGATCCCACGACCTCTCGGTAAAATGAGGAGACAAGGAGAAAGTAATAAAAATAATGAGATGAGAGGAGTGGGATTCGAACCCATATCCTCTAGGCCATCACAAAAGGATTTAAGGAAAAAGAAAAATAAAGAAATATGCTTGTGGGGGTTCGATCCCGGGTCCCCTAATACCTAACCATTTAAGGTGAAGTGAGGGAAAGGAAAAAGGAAGGAAAAACAATGTTAGTGAGGGGATTCAAAATCGGGTCTCCAAGCCGAGGGTGAAGATTACGAAAAAGGGAAAATAAATAAAAATGTAAGTGTTATCCAAGGGATTCAAAATTGGGTTCCCTTTCCCAATTCCGTATTGACACATAAGTCGTACGTAAATAAATGTTCAAAAGAATCTCGCCTACATAGATCGAAATCGAGATCTTGTCATACATACAAGATGCATAAGTCTTGTATCACATAATCTTAGGAAGATATGAATCACTTAAATAAACTATGAATGAAGCCTCATGGCTTGTATGTATAGACTCATATGTCTAGCATTCGTTGAAAAGTAAGTGAACCTAAGATGTATGTGATGAAATGATGTAACCCTAAAAGGGTTAAGTGAGAGTATGAAACACACTAGAGGACAAGTGCATTGACATATCATGAAATGAACATTCAAGTAAAAGGGGTGAGTAATTATGAAGAGCAAACGTGCTAAAGCTAATGAATGTGGTGACAACATGATAAGAGGATAATGTGAAAGATGAGATCAATCTCAAAAGATATTCACCTAAGAGAGTGTAAAGTTAATAAAGAGACCAGTCTCTATAAACAC